AAATTAACTTACCATGTAGATCGATCTGATTCATTTAATCCGGTAAGTTTCTCAATATCACATATTATTAATTGTTAGTATAAATTAGAGAAAATGAATATGATAATGAAATACATACTATGTTAAAACGATATGTTTAACAGATAAAATGAGGTCATTGTCTTACATGACGCAATTCTCAGCAATTAAAAGGCGATCAATATCATGTATATTATTTTGACTCTTCTTTACAATCTGTTGTTAGTGTTGTTGTAAATTAATAAATGAATAAAAGTCAGTCCTCTTCAATACATATATGATGAATCACATCATTTTACCTTGTCAAATTCATCAAAAAGGCTACATAAAATCTTAGGCACTGTAGTCGTTGAGAGCTTGACCTCTTGCTCAAAGTTCTGTCCCAGTTTACGTCCAATATTAAGGTGTAATAAGAACTTTTATTTCAATATGATTACCCGTAGATCTAAACCTCCCTACTAGACGGAACTGCAAGTACAAAAAAAATCCTGCATTTAATATAATCATTATAGTTGTTAGAGATTCGAACCGATTTGTGATCACCCGGTTACCCACATCAAATCAGGTTAAACCGGATTGAGTATCGACAATCCGGATGTTCGACAGTTTAAACTAAACATGACCATTTTTTAGAAATAAGATAAATAAACTAAACTATAATTAAGTTATGACTGTGTTTTTAAATTACTGCGCAACTCAGTTCGCCCCTTTTTTTTATAATGATAATATCATCATAAAAATTCCTTTCTTAAAGGTTTAATGTTATTTACAAGAAAATTTAAGTCTTTCCTTACCAAATTTCTATTTTAATTAAATGTCATAAAAATATAAATTACGAAAGAATTTCACATGAAATAAACTAATTTTTTCCCACCCCTTATTATCAAGTTGGAAATTTAAAAATTTCGAACATTTTTTTCAAATTTCAAGTAAAATTTTTAGCTTAAATGAGTGACGATAAGTTTAATGCTAATGAGTTTTCTGGTTCGGGAGATAATGATACTGTAATTTTTCTTGAAGATGAACAAGAAGAACAACCAGAACAATCATCCTCAAAAAAAAAAGTGAAATTTAACGTTAATATGTAAAAATCTAGCTGGGTTTGGAAACATTTCAATACAAGTTCTGATGGCAAATATAATATTTGCCAAGTTATAATTATGAACTTGAAAAATGAAGAAGTACGTTGTGGCCAGCAGTTTTTAAATGATGGAGCTACAGGCAATATGGCAAATCATCTCCGCGGAAAACATAATATTCAAGAAAAAATTAATAAAGTAATGTTATATTTTATTTATAATTATTATTCTTAAAAATATTTCTTTTATAAATATTTATTTATATTTTATTTAGCTATAAGATAAATCTATCCAACAAACTTTATCACAATTAATTGAACAGGCAAAAACTAAACCACATAAAAAATCGTGAAATCAAGAGATTAAGCAAGCTATTGCAGGATGGATAACTATTGATAATCTTCCGATCAAAGCAAAGGTTATCAGAAAATGATGTCAATTATCGATCCTGTATTTCCAATTCTATTTGATAAAAGAATAAAAAAAGAAATTCATATTGTTTATACCTATGCAGTTGAGGAATTAAAAAAATTACTTGAAAATACTTGTGAGCTTCTTTAACAACTGATCTTTGGACAGCCAAAAGTAAACATGGATATATTAGTATAACTTTACATTAGATGTCAAGTGATTTCAATGTATATGATTGTTTTCTTTCTATGAAACGTATGCCATATCTACATTCAGGAAAATTATTTTATCACTTTTAAAAAAAAGGTGGTTGAATTTGATTTAGAAGGAAAAATTACTTGTGTTATAACTGATAATTGTAGCAATATGGTTAATGCAATTGATTTATGGGATGGTATTGATCATTTACCTTGTGCTGCTCACACTTTACAACTTTCAATTAATTGTGCATTTCGAAAGACTAGTATTTATATTAAATGAATTAAGCGTTTAGTGCATTTTTTTACAAGTTTTTCTAAACAAAGTGAACGTCTTGATAATGCTCAAAAAGAATGTCAACTATATGAAGATTATATAATAACATCAGAAACTTTAATAATTCTACTGAAGATAATTCTGATAATGATAATATATTTTATTTAAACAATAGTTAACATTTCAGCTAATTCAGAAGAAAAAATTTTGCAAAATATTACTGATATAAAAACGCGATGGAATTCAAAATATCATTCTTGGAATCTTTTATTAAAATTACGTAAAGCAATTGAATGGTTAGCAGCAACTTTGCCTTTATCAGATATTTTTAATGATCGTGCAGATGGAAAAAAACTTAAAAAATAGCTTTTATTACCTTATGAATGGGATTTGTTAAAACAAATCATTGATTTATTAGAACCATTTGATGATGCTACTACTTATTTTAGTGAAACAACTTATACTATTTTATCAATTATTTATCCTTTAATTCAAGTTCTAAAAGAAAAATATGCAAATGGACTTTTATTTTCTGACGATTCAGATGAACAAGGTAATTTGAAATTAAAAATTTTCTTTATTTTTATTTATTACTTATTGGCTAATTTTATAATTATTTTATAGATATTCCTAATTTTTAACATGAAGAATCTTCAGATAAAGATTATGATAGTGATAGTAGTGAAGATAAGCCAGAACTTGATACTTCAGAGTTATTAACACAAATTCATCATAAAACCTGATCTATTACAACAGTGATAACTACAAATACCACTTATACTGCAATTGAAACTCTTTAAATAATGAGACAGACTATTTATGATTCTCTATTTATTTATTGAGATCAACTTATAATGATTGGTCTTTTAGCATCTCTTTAAATCCACGGTTAAAATACTTTTGACTTGGGTTAAGACATACAAAATAATGCTAAAGCAGAATTAAAACACCAATTTGAAGAATTAATTAAACACAATCATCTTCTCTTTTTGATAATTTAATTCAACAAAATTCCATTTTATATCATCCTAATCAAATGCATTCTTTTATTTTTAGTGTAGTGACAGCTTCAAACCCTTTCTCTGAATTAGAATATTATTTAGATCCTATTCATTCTCCAATTGCTACAAATAATATAAATCCTTTTGAGTAATAGGCTATTTGGAAAATACAATTTCCTAATGTAGCTAAATTAGCCAGGAAATATTTATCTATTCCTGCTTCTTCAGTACTTAGCGAAAGATTATTTTTCGATGCTGGTAATCAAATTACTGCTAAACGAACACATTTAGGTCCAAAATCAGCAGGAAAAATAATGTTTATTAAGAGAAATTCAAATGCAATTCATATATTTTAGGCTGTTATTGAATATATCTTAATAGAATTTAAAATAAAAATAATTTACAATTTATAATAATTTAAAATTTTATTTTTTTAATAAATTTTTTTACTCTAAAATTAATAGTATTGTTATTGATGTTTAATTAGTTTATTGAAAATAAATAAATTAAATAAAATCAGATATATGGAGAAGATACATTTATTAATATATAAATCTTTTAATTTTTGTCATATCATCTTATCAACAATTTATCATAAAATTAAAATTATATTTCAAAAAAAATTTTAACCCATTTTAAAAGTAAGTAGATATCCAGGTGACAAATTAGGATCCAGTTCGAATTCCTATATTTTCTAATAATAGTATTATATTTAAAATGTTTTTAATTAACAATTTTGATGTAAAAGTTATTTATACTTGTGAAATTCTGTTTTATTGAATCAAATTAATGCTAATCATTATATACTAATTAACAAAAGAAAAAAAATTAAAAAAATGAAAATCAATTGTATTGTATAGAAAGGAGTTTGCTATGTATAGCCAATTGTCTAATTTCCATCGTATATTTTTAACAAGAACAATTTTGTATATTGTCTAAAACTGATTAGCAACAAATTTCTGAACTAAAATTATCGTTCTGTAGGTGAAATTATTTATTGTTAACATTTAAATAAATTCAAGATGAAGGATCTGATCATAAAATTTTATGATATTTAATTTATATTAACTTTACTTTAAATAAGAAAGCAACAAATCAATTGTAGTCACTATTTTCGATCACTTCATATAGGCAGCGATAAATGTATTTATTTTTTTTGATTTTACAGGTATTTTATAGGTTCTTTCACTTTTGTAGGATAGGTCTAATTTATTTTATCATTCCAACATTATTACTTTACTCAAATCTAATTAATATGCAAAAGAAATTTATTTTATTGTGGTGGCCCTATCTACATATACTATGCCACTAAAACATTTTATTTGATTTTAATTCCAATTCCGATAGCTATATATATATATCATAGTTTGAAAATAAAAGGATATTAGCTCGTTTCTAAGTCTTTTGTGAGTTTACTTTTGCCCTAGGTCAAATAATTGAAGAAACGTTTAAATTTGACTTCAGATATCATATTTATCTTTGGTATTACTAATCATAATAGAGAGTTATCTATAATTACAGATTGATGTAAATTTTTACCTATTAAAATAATATTTAATTTTGATCCACGCTACAAAAAAATAATGATGATGCCAGGTATAATTGATTAAAGTAATTTCCAATGATTTAAAAGTGCAAGAATGCATCAACATTCAAAAGAGAATATCGTTTTGCATATTCATATACTAATATTTTATGATTGCTTTATATGAGTACACAGAGAAATAAACAACATTATTGTTCAACCTAATAGGAACATACTAATTTTCATAGACTGATATTTTTATTTAGCATAATAATATTATAAGAAATTATACTATATTAATATATTGCAAATTTAATTTTAATAATATAAATAATCTTAACATATGGATTAAAAAGTTACATTTTAATTAGTAATTTCACATAATTTTCTAATTTAATTATTTCATCAATTAAATTAATTACCTGCAATATTAATTTTAATATTAAAATTAGCCAATCTACCACTTTGTATTAATAATAAAAGTTGATCCATCTATATGGAAATTTCTAATGTATTATGATGAAGTTGGTGATCTAAAGGTTTATTGGTTATGTTAGAATTGATCAAAGAAGGTTTAAAAGTCTTGATTGCTAAATTATTTAAAAAAAAAATAAAAAAAATTAGGATAATTCTAAATTTAAATGTCAAATATTTTAATATACCTTCTCTAGCTGTTTTGAAATCATCATTTTCCTGAATTTGATTTTTTGCAGATCTTTTATTTTTTGTTATATCTTTAACGTTAATTTCTAACATATTTAAAATTATAAAAAAAATTAAAAAAAATTAAAAAGCAAATTTATATAAAAATAATGATAATACTTAAGTGTACACTAGAATCATATATTTTTGTTACTAATTTACTCATCATACATTTCTTAGTAATTCATATGAATTCAATCCTAATTTGTTTGATATCACGATTGTAGTCATACTTGTTTTTGTAAAATTCCTGCAGTTTGCAATCCTTATATCATAGTCTTTCGACCTCTATGATTAGATATATTATGATTTGTAAGATCAATTTCAGATAATCTGTATATTTTACATATAAATCCTTTTAAGCATGCTTCACCAATATGAGATTTCTTGTACCAAACTCCAGTTTAAAGTGCTATAAAGGTAAAAATAAATAAATGATTTATAAAAAGCAAACAAGTTAATTTTACCTGTTTCTTCTTTAACTTGTAAATAAAATTGTAAATCAGCTAAAATAGGTCTTTTTATAAAATAATTTTCATAATCATTAATTACATTTTCTTGATTTGGTATAGTTAATTTTTCAGCTTTTCCATAATCATTTATCCTCGCTGATTAGTTTTTGAACGATAAATGTACACATCAAATCCTCTATCATTTCATTTTTTGAAGTTATTTGCCTTAATTAATGAGTGTTCACCTCCTCTTAATCCAAGAATTATTGCATTATGAAAGAATACCCGTCTTAAAAGTCTTTCAGGTGTTGATCCATCCATAAATTTGTGAGTTAATACTTGTCAAACTTCTGAAAAGCTTAATCCATCAGAACCTCTAGTTTTACCATATCTAAGATCACTTAAATACTTGATCTTTCTACTTGCAGTTTCATTGAGAGTAGTAAAGGTATTATTGTCATAAATACTAACATGTTTAATCACGGAATTTTTATTCAAATGACGATAAAATGCTGCAATTGAAGCTTTTACAGAACTTGTTGCATATTCTTCTCCATTCTTTTGCTTCATTGATGCAACATATTTTGCTAATTGCTGATCCAATTCATTTACATAACTAATTTCTTCTACTTTTCCGTTATAACCTTGCTTTTCACGAAAATTTTCTAGAGCTTTTACCCAATTATTAGTGACATAATTAGTATTCTTTACTTGGTTTAATTATCTATAAAAATCAACATCTTTTCTTTGTTTTATAGCTTTCTAAATTAAAAAAAAGATGAATACTTGTTGTATCAAGTTCGTTAAATTCAAAAAAAAAAAATTACACAGAATTTTTGGACTTTTTACATGAGATTTTTTAAAATAAATTATTAAGAAGGAAGAAGGCGTGAGAGTAAATAAAATTTAATAAAAAGTTTAGCAAAAAAAAATAATTTAAAAAAAAAAAGTTTAATTTTTAACACTTTTATATGATGTGGGGCTATATCGGTCACGAGGCCCTTCATTGATTGGTGAAAATGGCCACTGCGTGGTCCATTTTCATCCAATCATTCGGTCCTGTGACCGATATAGCAACTCCCATCCAATAAAACATATATAAAGTAATATGAACCAACTAGGCTAAAGCTACTAGACGAAACGAATCTAATCGGATGCTAATTACTAAAGTCACTTTCAAATTTCCTCAATGATCAAAGAAAAATTTTGACGTATGCCACCGTAAAAGTAATGACGATTCCGTGTTGTAACAACCTACATTTATGATATAAAAGTAATATTATCGGATCTTATCGTCATACATTTGAAATAATAAAAGTATTAAAAAAAAATTTTGTTTCACGTTGCACCTGCAGCTCATTATTATTTATTTAGATTCTTCGGTTCTCCCAACAGTATGGTTGACGTTTTTGAAGCGCAGATCTTACCAAATGCATGAATTAATCGGGTAAAACTGATCATTTCAATTATTAATTCGCGGAATAACTAACCTTCGAATTTCAAATTCAGACTTAAAAGGAAAAATGATGCAAATTATCGGAAAAATGAATTCAATATCAGAAAATTTGCGGATTTCAGCACAAAATCTCCAGGAACTGATTTTGGTAATTGGACAATTGAAGCAACCATTTAAAAAAAAAAATAAAACTTTGAAAGAAAATAGTTACAAACAAATAATGCATGCATCTTCGTTTATAGGTCAAGCGGAATTTCAGCATTTGTGAAGAAATTTCATGAGATTTTAATGATAGATCCTTGAATTTTGTGATTAATTTAATCAATTTCCATCCATATATTCTCGTCCTTTGTAGAAATCATTTCTGTAATTTAACCATATAAATTCATTCTTTGTGGATTATTCGACGCTTGAAAATGTTTCATCTTGTGTTATAAGCAAATAAGCAAATAGGTGGTGTTATGGCTTGCTCTTTTTTTTCCGGATGAGAACTCCGATTGTCTAATTTTGGATCCATCATTAATATATATATTTGCAGGAATTCTAACGAAAATTGGTAAAAAAAAAAAAAATAAAAAATCAAATTAATAAAAAAAAATGCAAATCATTAACTGCGAAATTCAAACCGCCGAGGCAAATAACAAGGTTGTCTCATACGAAAAGTCTTGTGATGTATCAGATCAGTTACAAGATATCCAGAAATCGCAACCGACTAAATGCAATGAAAATTCTTGGAACAAGAGGGTGAGAGCCTTCTTGCTTTTGAACAAGAAAAAATTTCATGAGGAGCTTGCAAAAATGTTTCCAGAATCACAAATGCCGTTCGAGGATACTTTATTTGAATCAGAAACAAGGAGGCTAGTCGTTCGTATTAAGATCGAATTTTTTAAACGGTCTTCCGATGCCGGTTTTCCGAGTGATATTTGCGATGACATTTACAAAAAATTTATCGACGTGATTCGATCCAACACCGCTGAACTTAAGGCAATCAATGCGTTATATTTAAGTTCAACCAAAGAAAAATATTCGGAGACATGTGAACAGCTCGAAGCAAAGTATGTCGTAAATCTTCATTCAAGGCTTCTTGGGGAACCTAAAAGACTTGATAAGATATTAACCAAATGTCGCGTTGACATTTTGGATAAATATGATAAAAAAGCATCAAAATTTCCATCATTCATCACGAATGATTATCGAAGTGTTTTTCAATATCGAGTAATTATACAATTGTATTTGAATAAATGTTTACACGCGACGCGCCTCATGTTAAAGTTTATTTTGATTTTTCGTTAGCTGCTTTCCAGAGACACAGAATTTGCTACGCAATATCGTGCATATACGGAACAGTATATGGATGATTTTAGAAGGAATGTGGATGATCTATATAATCAGATCTTGTCTGATTACCAGATCCAAGTAAATACAAACTTACCGACATTTCCGATGTCGGAAACCGAATTGGAGTGTGAGTAAATCATGAAATGAAATTCAAATTACATTAACTCAAATCGACTAAAATACAGTAGCGGTCATAAGTATCCGACCGCCTCTAACTCCGGCTACAAGTAAGTAAATTCAAAATTTTTTTTT